TCCGGCGCGGGCGAAATTCATATCGTGGCAGTCTCTCATCATTCCAGATTCTTAAAAAGAATCTGTCCACTATTCACCCTTTGAAGCCAACCTTGTTCGTGCTTCTCTCAGACCCGGTGATGCGAGAGAGATCAACATATAGACGGCGTTAATATACTTCCAGGAGATAATTAAAACCCACGAACTGGATACATATAAGTGGAAGGAAATGGCTCTCTCAATCAACCCGGACTTCATCGCCATTTGTGTCCATTCATGCTCAAATGGGATATTGGGCTGACCATAAACAGAGGACAAGGCCTGACACTACTGCTATTTTGAGCTCATTTTGAGTAAGAGTACATGAGATATTTCTGAGCGCATAATTGAAACTTGTATTGTGAGAGATTGAGAAGGAGCAACTAACTCAGCCCGGAAATAAGGTCTAAGACTGGATCGCCTTGGATTCTGGTCATAGAAAGGTCAAGGGCCTCTCAAGTCTTCAATGACATGTCTCGTGAAGTGAAGTATCGCAGGGGAAATGTTCATCAAGACTCCCAGGTCAAAATAGTTGGTATTGATATGTATTGGTAAAGATCGAATCAAAGTCTATGTAAAAACAAAACAGTCGCTATCCCGTGTATGCTTATTCTCAATCCCAAACGCCTTGCTTGATCATCTGTCCTTTCCGCAGTTTCTTCTTTTCGTCGAACTCAGGTCAAGTAAATCGAGAATCATCTGCTTTGAGCAAAGTTGTTGTTGTTGGCGATCAGGTTTGGTGAGCCTCGGCGGCTACCAACGACCTTGTTGCTGGTGGCGTACTTCTTGATGTACTTGGTTGTGGTATCAACACCGGTGATGCCGTACACGGACTGCGCATACAACACAAGACCAGAAACATGAGGAGTGGCCATTGAGGTGCCGCTCTCAATGTAGGTGCCGTTGTCGCTGAGCCACGAGGCGGAAACTACATCGACACCTGGAGCCATCATATCTACAGAGCTGCCGTAGTTGGACCAGCTGGGGATTCTCCAGTTCTTGTCAATGGCTCCAACAGTAATGGCCTGAGGGGCTGAAGCTGGAGATTTCGTGTTGGCGTTTGTTCCCTGGTTTCCGGCGGCGACCACAAAGATGACTCCGGACTTGGCGGCATTCTTGATAATGTCGTTGAGCGCCCCAGATACACCATCGATACCAAGAGAGAGGTTGATCACAGAGAACTCTTGTCTTTTCTTCTTGATGATATCGTTGACGGCCCACTCAATACCGTTGAGAATGACGGAGAGATCTGCAGAGTCGCCCTGAAAGACTTTGACGGAAATGATCTTAGCCTTCTTAGCGACTCCGAAGGTCTTTCCCGCAATCGTTCCAGCAACATGAGTACCATGACCCAGTCGGTCAACATAATCTTTTCGGAAGGCTGTCCAGCCATTCTTGGCCCGGCCTTGGAACTCCTTATGGGTGGTACGGACACCGCTATCAACGAGGTAGGCAAAAGAGTCAGAACCGCTTTGTTTGTGGTAGAGATAGTTCTGGAAGCCCTTGTTGCGGTGTGAGATAGTTCCGAGGCCCCATGTGCTTGACTTTTGGTTAATTTCGCTCCTCTTTTCAAGCTGATCATTCTCATCCTCGTCTTCAGTGTCCTCGCTTTCTTGACTTGTCGTTTCTGCTGGTGGTGCTGGTACCACGGGTTGTTCTTGACGCTTGGAAGCGTTCCATGTTAACTTGACTCTACGGTCAGGCTCAACACGAACGACCTACTTCAGCTGTTAGATATCAAGAACTTTGTTAGGGTCCAGTTATCTTACCTCAGGGCTCTGCTTGATCTGTTTTAGCGTCTCGTCATCGAATGTACCAGCGTATCCGTGAAAACCAGCCTCGGTCTCAAATGTCTTCTCAACGCCATTGTCGCCATCCCGCTTCTCGAGACTTCGCTTGTGAACGCCGTCAACCCATTTCATATGAGCCTTAACTGCAGGAGCCTTGATCTCAGACTTGAGGGTAATGATGTAGCTGCCAGGGATTGTGCTGTCGACGCCAGAAGGAGTTGTAGGTGCTGTTAGACAACAGCCAAAGAGGGTGGTAGCAATAACTGCGAAACTCTTAAGTTGAACCATGGTTCAAATGATGGTGTGAAGATTAATGGAAGGAGGGACAAGAGGTGGGAAGAGAGCGTATCCTGATAATGAATGAGAGTGTTGGTTATGAAAGAAGGTCAAGTCCACTCCGGAAGTTCTTGTTTCAGGCTTAAGTACGAATCAGGGATTGCACTAGAAGCCTCTTCTCGCGTGAACCATGATTCTATGCCATCATACCAGGTATCTGGGGCGAAACGGACGAGACCCTGAAGAGGCATCATTGCCATGGCCAGCTCCACGATTAAGCAAGCGCCTCGTCGTAGCCAAATACCGGATATGCCGCCACCCAGACCCAATTTGACGCAGGAACAATGAATTCAGAAGCCAGAGAATGGAGGCGCCGCGTGGCCATAGCTCTAGCTAGACATTAACGGGCAGATGGTTGCCCGTATAGGCAAGGAAGCGATGGAAAACCACGCGATGGCTTCGCAGTGGCCACCCAGTTCGATAGACGGATCTGGAGATGCCATGACGATCCATCTCATGAGTCGTGCCTTGACCTATGTGAAGGAATTTGGTATTGGCCAATGATGTCTGAGGATATAGCCCGGAAATGGTCTAACTTCCCGGTAGTCTGGTCCAGACATATAAGCCGCATTCCTCTACCCGGACCACGACGCATATAGGGCCCTGAGCATTGGATCTAAATTCTCCGGCTACTCCACAATTCGAACCTGGATTGTCTTGTCTAACACGGTTCGACGCTACCGACAATCATCGTAGGTTCAAATATGAGTGTTTTGGCACCTAAACAGGTATTCCAGCTATCGGCAAACTCCATCTGCCAAACGACGTATTTGAGTAAGTATTGAAGCTAGCGTGTGTAGCTCTCTAGCAACATGATAGTACGCCTCTTGCGTAATGCAAATAACTATTGTTTGCCAAGATTAAGTTCATGGCAGACATTTACATACCTTCATCGTGCGAGGCATCCATGATCTGTTTTTTGTACCGCCAACTCGGGTCCTACTCTTTTAGAGGTTCAAGATCTATGTCTTGAACAAAACGAGACATTCCTTTTTCTCTTACCTGACAGACGTCATGAACGGTTGTCATTTGAAGATCATTCATTACCGGGTAATTCAGAAGCCCTAAATATGTCAGAGGGCATCACACGCTCACCACAGGTACACGATAGTACGCGTAATTCCTACCAAGATACCAAGAATACACGATTTGTAAGTGACAAAATATGAAACTGGCCATCATGATGAACAACAGCAGCTGCAGAATGTGTGCCAAGTCATACGATGGAATTCGGTGGCAAATTCCCTTTAGTCTAGATCATGACTCGGAATTTTGCCAAGCGCGCTTTTACATGAATACTTCATGGTTGATCACTGGCATTTACTAAGGTGCGGGCGTCAGTTCACGATGTGGCACAACTCGTAAGCATATATGGCTTGGCAAGTTCCTCTTGGCTGAATTACAGGCATATTTCAAAAGACACAATGATAGACGCCATAACTCGGCCCTATATCGTGGCTGAGAGTGTTTCCACTCATCTAATGACAAGTAGAGTGTACGACAATCGCTGGTTTGTGTATTGGTAATAAAGGTGTTTGATATTTACAGAAGAGTATTGGTAGATTCGCGGACCGCATACTATCCCATATGCTTTAAAACATGTGCCTGGTAGGATACATAGCCTTTAGCTCTAATATAACGTTTTCTTTTTTTTTTTCCCTTCCTCGTTGTTTGAAAAGCCAAGTCACTCTCACGATGACAAGGTACTCTGATTGTCTTCGACTTCATAAACAGACAACTTTTGAATACCTATATCTTTCAGAAAGGCCGAAGTCTCGAAAGTGATGCACAGTTCAGTCGTTCACTTATATTGATATGTAACGATCACTGATCTATTATCTAATTTACTCATGTAAGGACCAGTACTTGGACCGCTATCATCGATGTGAAACACAGGTTTCTGGCAACTCATTCTATCACCACCGAACGAAACCAAACTGGTATGAGGCACACAATCATCATGCGCTATTAACCTACTGGAAATAATGAAGATTCCTAGTGATGGATGAGATATGTCTGTTGAAGGGGTTTAGAAACAGCCCCTAGAAACATGTCATCAAGCTGAGTCATCAATTTGACTGATATCACTCTCTGCCACATTCTCGTCAACTAGGTAACCTATGCGAATATCAGGTGGTATAAGCAATACTAAACACTATTAATTGATTGGGTCTTGAGACTCAGTAAAGTCTCGGTGTTGCCTCCGAGCTTACTAAGGTTAATGGTCAAGCAAAGAATGGTCAAGCAAAGAACGGCAACCGATTGCGAGATCGCCGAGTGCCGGTCGGACCATCGGGGGCGCTAGAAAAAAAAAAGTTGTCCCCGGCAGGAGGGATCGGAAGTTCGGGGTCTCCATTGGGAACCAGTCTGTCATGTGGGGTAGTAAATAAATTAACGACCACTCAGGAGCGGAGGTTGTCCTATAAGCTGCTGCTGCTGTTTTTGTCATCCCACTTTCCCATCTTGCGACATCAAAGTCCTTTCCGAAGTCGGCCTAGTTCAATTGCGTGATTCTGTCGAAGCATCAACAATTCTCAAGACCGAGCAAGATCCGTCCATTTCGAGGGCAGAGACAGGGGAAAATACATAGAGTAAATCGGCGCCATGGCTTTCCTTACGGTTACTCCGTTGAGTCGCCTCTTGAAGGGTTCTTTTGCTTCTCTTTTGACTCCGCCTTTTCTCTTTCTCCTCCTCTCTCTTCTTCAGTCCTCCATCGCCTCTCCCTGAAAGTATCTCATCTCGCTTCAGAGCCAGCGACTTGAGTTTCAGTTGGTAGACCATCTCTTTTGACTTTCAAGTCAATAGTCAACCGCGGGGTTTTGTTCTTTTCCTTCACTGGCTTTAAAGACCCTCAAGATGCCTCATCAAGAATCCGCCCCTGTGGCGAAGACCAACTCGGCAGACTTCAACAAGTTGTCGTCCAGTCTCCCTTTCGGCCAGCAGGTTCCTCTATCATCAATCTCTGGACCGACTTATGTGACCGCCCAACTCCTCGTTCAGCAGATCGCCTACAAGCTTTCCGATAAGATCTTCTCTTACTCTCCCGAGACCTTCGACCTCGATATCGCACTCAAGGATTGGGCTTCCAACAATGATAAGAACGTCCATGGATATTCCACCGAGGTTCTGCCTCTCCAGACTCGAATTGGCGCTGGTGCTCTTGCTCTGGGCTACATCTTCTCTCCCGACTTCGATGTCTCCAAGCGTCACATCCCCCAGTCCCTGGTTGCGCCCTCAGGCAGCCTCCAGCAACTGCGCGGGACCCTCGACCAGCTCTCTCTCCTCTACGGCGTTTCCAGCCCCTTTGTCGCCCACGTCGCCGCTCTCGACTATTCTGATAGCAAGGGTCTGGTCTCCAACTACGACTCCGCTCTGCGCCTTGCCGAAGACCTTGGTCTTGGACTTGTTGCTAGCACCTCCACCTATGAAGCTCAGCACATGTCCATCTTTGCCACTCTCTTGGCTATTCTCCTTCCTACTCTTCATATCTACGATGGTGTGCGCGTCGCTCGCGAGACTCTCCGTGTCGTCGATGCTCTGAGCGAAAACGGTGTTGCCGATCTGTACAGCAAGCTCTCTGCCGAGGCTAGCAAGCTCTCTGCCGAGGCTGGCAAGCTCAACACTCGTCTTGACACCGCCGGCAAGGTTGTTGAGCTTCTCAAGCTCTTCAACGATGAGCTCGGCACCGTCTATGAGCCTTTTGAGTACCACGGCCATGAGTCCCCTGACGTCGTCCTCGTTGCTTTCGGCAGCGTCGAGTCACAGGTGGCCAAGGAGGTTCTGGCCAAGCTCTCTGCAGATGGCGCCAAGGTTGGTGTCATCAATGTGCGAATCTATCGCCCCTTCATTGAGGAGGCTTTCATCAAGGCCATCCCTGCTTCCACTCGTACAATCGCCGTCCTTGGTCAGGTCAGAAACGAACTCGCTGTGGAGGATGAGGCCACCCAGTCTGCTCTTTACAGTGATGTCCTGACTGCTGTCACTTTCTCTGGTAAATTTGACACCGAGCCTGCGGTTCTTGACATCAAGTACACCCCTGCTCAGACCTTTACTCCCCAGGGTCTGGTCAACACTCTCCACAAGATCTTTGGCAACGAGGGCAAGGCCAAGAAATTGCCTTCTCTCGTCCAGGCTCAGCAGTTCACCTTCTGGGACCTCGATAACTCATCTGCTCTTAACTCTCCCAGTGTTATTGGCAACCTGCTCTCCAAAGAATCCAGCTCCAACGTTTATGTTAACGAGATCTTCGACAACCTCACCCAGGGCGGTCTCGTTCGAAGTGACCTCCGAGCCTCCAAGAAGGCCCTCGAGGCTCCTTACGACATTGACGACGCCAATACTATTGTCGTCGGTGACGAGAAGATTCTCCGGGAGGTTGATGTCCTCAAGGGTCTCGTCGAGGGTGGCAATGTCATTGTGAAGCTCTCCAACTTCAAGGATGATGAGGTCGAGAAGCGTCTCCCTCTCGCATTCCGAAAGGGGCTTCGGGAGAAGGCGGCTGAGCTCTTCATCCTCGACTCTTCCTATTCCCCTGCCTTCGAGAAGGACCCTCTCTTCTCCAAACTGCTACTCGAGCTGTCCTTCCTGAAGGTTGCTCTTCCTGACTATACCCCGGAAAATATTGCAAAGCATGTCCTCGCTGAGGGTCACCCTCCTACCCTGGAGGAGTCCATGGATGCCGTTGGCCTTTGCCTTCGTCATTTCGAGGTCCCCTCCACCTGGGCTGAGGTGGGTGCCGACTTTGCTGACCCCAATCTTCCTGCTACCATCCAGAGCAACAGCTTCGTCGTCCACGACAAGGAGGAAGCTGAGGAGACTTTCGAGCTCCGTGACTGGCAGGCTGCTGCCAAGTCCCTTGCTTTCAAGGAGGCTTATGGCACCAAGAACGTTCTGCGACCCGAGTTGTCTGTCAAGACCTCCACCATCACTGTCAAGGAGAATCGCCGACTTACTCCTCAAGACTACGACCGCAACATCTTCCACATCGAATTTGATCTTGGTGACTCCGGTCTGACCTACAAGATCGGTGAGGCTCTCGGGATTCACGCCGAGAACGACGAGGAAGAGGTCAACCAGTTCATCGAGTTTTACGGCCTCAACCCTGCCGAGCTCGTTCAGGTTCCTGCCCGCGAGGATCCTGCTCTCCTCGAGACCCGTACTGTCTTCCAGGCCCTTGTCCAGAATGTCGATATTCTTGGCAAGCCTCCCAAGCGCTTCTATGAGGCCCTTGCTGATTTTGCTACTGATGAGACTGAGAAGCAGAAGCTTGAGGCTCTCGCCAGCCCCGCTGGTGCTGAGGATCTGAAGCGCCGCGCCGAGGTCGATACCGCTACCTATGTTGACATTCTTGAGGAGTTCAAGTCAGCTCGCCCAAGCTTCCACGACCTCATCAAGATTGTCAGCCCAGCCAAGCGCCGAGAGTACTCTATCGCCTCTGCTCAGGCTGTTACCCCCAACTCAGTTTCTCTCATGATTGTCGTCGTTGACTGGGTTGATCCTCGTGGCCGTACCCGTTACGGACATGCTACCCGCTACCTCAGCCGTCTTCCAGTTGGTGCCAAGGTCACTGCTTCAGTCAAGCCTTCCGTCATGAAGCTTCCTACCAAGGACACTGCGCCTCTCATCATGGCTGGTCTCGGAACGGGTCTTGCTCCTTTCCGTGCCTTTGTTCAGTACCGCGCTATGCAGAAGGCTCAGGGTAAGGAGATTGGCTCCATCCTGTTGTACCTTGGGTCCCGTCACCAGCGTGAGGAATACCTCTATGGTGAGGAATGGGAGGCCTATCTGGCGGCTGGTGTTGTCACTCTTATCGGATCTGCCTTCTCTCGTGACCAGCCTCAGAAGATTTACATTCAGGACCGCATGCGTCAGACCCTTAAGGAGATCGCAAAGGCCTACATCCAGGACGAGGGTAGCTTCTACCTCTGCGGCCCTACGTGGCCTGTACCTGATGTGACCAAGGTGCTCGAGGAAGCTATCGCTCACGAGGCCAAGGCTGCTGGCAAGAAGATCGATCCTCGCAAGGAGATTGAGAAGCTTAAGGAGGAGGGACGATATGTCCTTGAAGTTTACTAGCCGATATGCGTCTTTCATGAGTAGTGCTCAAAATGGTGCTTGGGATAGTATAGAAAGCATTGAAGCGTTTGAATTTAACTATATGAGTCTATCTTTACATCACGTCTTCTACATTGTGACGCTTGATATCAATCCAGATACAGGACATTGTCAACCCACAGATCCCAGGCTTCTGGATTACTTTCCATGCCAACATTGGCAAGCTTTCGCCGGGAGCTGATGAATGTGCTCCAGGGACGTCCCTCCGCAGGACCTCGCTCTTGGTCCCTCGACCTCTCACAGCCCAAGGGTCATATCTAGGACGATTTGTCCTCCTCATCTGGTGCCCTCTCAGCACATAACCTGTGCATTGGTGGCTTACGCGCGCGACTACCGGCAAATCTATGAGAGATCTGAAATTGTTACCCGCCTTAACAATAATCTCAAGTTGTTGCCCAACCGAGATTATCTCGTGAGGCATAAGTGTTCTAGACCACGAGCGAAAAGCAAATATCACGGGTGGTGAAACCTACTAGCGACCAAACAAGACAGGATACCCGCCGCGGTGAGAACGAATATGGAAATCCGAAGGGCTTCCTTTCTTTTTGTCTCTGGAACCAAAAAGCCCTGCAGATCCTTTTGGGCATCAACCGCAGCTATTGGTGCTCAGCCCAACCGGTGAATGCTCAATGCCCAATATTTGCTCATAAAAAGGGAGGAGGGAGGGGGAGGGGGGGTCATGGATGCGCCGCGGAGATGATATCGAGATTGCTTGCATGGATGCGTCGCTGAAAAGAGTATTCCGTGGTCGTGGAGGCTGACGGAAGATGCATCCTGTGAGGCTTTTGAGTTTTGAGCGACCGGTGAAGGTCTAAGCGAACCGATGATAGCCATCAGGCATGCCTGGAATTGCCGATATGGTTTCTACAGTACAGTGTTCGGAAATACATACCTACTGCCTACGTCCATTTCTCATAGAACTTCAATGCCGTGCTTGGTTTCTGCCAACAGCTGGAGACATAATGGATCGTTCAGCAGACGAGATAATGCACGTGTCAGCCAGCATCAGAGATTAAGTATGTGATTTGTCAACTGGATCTCTTGGAGTCGTAAAGTAGCCTATCGCTTGAGGGTCACCGATGTCTCAACTCCATGTCGTGCAGCTGAGCTGCCCAGGCAAAGACATCCAGTCTGTACCACTCCATGGACTGGTTATCACATCCTTATTGATATGGTCCAGTTTCGTCATGCAGTCTCGTTTGAGTATCGAGGCCAAAAAGAAGGATTGACTGCCCCGTACTGGAATCGAACCAGTGATCTTATCATTTCGTGTTGATTTTACTAGTGATACGCTTTACCACTGAGCCAACGGGGCTTGCTAATCGGTAAAGACCTCAGAGTCTGTACGGTCTATACCCATGAGCAGAGCAGGAACAGGAAATTTACCTTACCAAGCAGGCAGACAGGCGGCTTGTCAATCAACCAAGGTTAGTAGTAAGAAACAATTCTATATGTGTATATTGAGTTTAATTATAAAAAGGGCTCTAATTACTATCGCTAGTAAAATGGTGTATCTTATTAGCCTACCCTATTCCTATAATTGCAAGTATGGGTAGCACCAGCACATACACACAAACCCACTAGACCCTCTTCCAAGAATGGTCAGTCTTCACGATCGACATACAAATCTTGGGATTCCAAGATCCGAAGTATTTGACCTGATCTGGTCTGATCTGATCTGATCCGATCAGATTCAATTCGATTCGATTCGGTCTGTTTGCAATTTCTGCCCGATTTCGGCACCTCCTTGAACATGCATGAACTCGCCGTTAGAATGCGGTGACGAACTGGAAAAAGCAAACAATCTTGGCCACAAGAGTCAATTTCAAGTTTTGAGGGTCAATGATACAAAAAGCAATCCCGAGAAAAAAGCAATGCACTCAGACACTGCCCTCCTTTCGAAGGGTCTGTTCAGGGAATGATCGTCAGGTGAGGCTACTGCGTGCGTGCGACAGGCTGAAAATAGAAGCCACAAAATGACATGGCAAGGCAAGGCAAGGCAAGGCAAGGCAAAGCAAAGCAACATCTCAACAGGGCTGTGTGCGTGTATGCGCACTGTACGTGTACTTCACTGACAGAGCTGACTTATCGACTGGCTCTTCAACTGTCTAACTAGATTGTATCCGTACCTGACATACGGTATCCTGTCACCGAGAGATCGACAACATGGATGGATGGTTTCTCTCCTGAATCGAAAGCGATAACACATACGAGGCTGTCGTAGAGATCGACAGGACGGTTCGAGAATACCCTTTTATGAGGCTGTCGCGATCACTTGGCCGTTGTGTCCAGAGTGTGTCGTCGTGTTACAACTCCTCCTGTGAGTTGTTGCTTTTGTTTGTTACGCATGCCGCGCTCTTGTCTCGTCATAATCGCGTCGAGATGGCAAAGAATGTAATTGCGTGGCTATGATTATTGACCCAATACGACTGAGGACAGTGAAGGTCAGTGTCGCCATATTCTCCGCTCTCAGGGACTACGTACGTACGTACAAACATACATGCATACAACCATCGCGACAACACGCCCCAATGTCACTCGTTAATGACCGATGAGAGAGTCCAGACTTGAACCAACCTGCAGGGAGACAATAACAAGTCATGTGCGCCGATACGAAAAAGAAGAAATGATTCATGCTTGGGTGCTTCCATGCATGTCTCGTCCTTTCTTTCATCACCAGTCTCAGCCTATCGAGGTGCCTCATGCACATGACCTCTAATATAGCCTACCTACCCTACCAAAGTCAAGCAGCCTATATGGACCTCTACGTACAGACCAGTACGGAGATCTCACGATGCATGTCCTATATGTATGCAGGATCACTCCGTACGTACCAGTACAACTTGGGCCAAAACATGTCAGACCTATCGGGAATAAAGGTACCCAGACTCCCCAGGTCCCGACCTATCTCCTGAAACCGGAATTACAGAGACAAGTCAAGAAGAAACATGCGAGGGCTTCAACTCGAGCTGACGTATCCGTACTATGTATCAAAAAAGACACGACAAATCTGAGTTTTACACAATAGCCTACTTCCATAGCTGCAACTCTTGCGGATATTAGTGTCCCCTTTCCTTTCCCCTGAAGAATGTTATCTCTTTACTCTCCTCGTCGCCAGGAACTCATCCTCCGTCCGCCTCGTTTCCCCGGGGCCCTCGTTCCTTGGGTCCAGGGATCTATCTAATGAGTGTCGTACCTACTAGCTACTGTATGTACGGAGTAACTCTCTGCAATGTATGTACATATGTATGTAGACTGCCGTAATCGCTCCACCTGGACCAGGTTCCCGACAAGAGGTCAAAGCGAGAGAGATCTGCAGCGACCCCCTGCTTCATCTGCTCCCGGCCACGAACCTAACCCACAATGCCATCTGCTCAAAACTCGTTATCTAGATACGATCATACGATTCAGATGAAGGATCCCAGCAGACCGCCCTATCTCTGAGGGGCTTGCAGTTACAGTTACAGTAGTAGCATATGCAATGCAGCTCCATGCATGAAGGATCATGGAGAGAGAGGAGAGGAGAGGAGAGGAGAGGAGAAGAGAAGAGAGGAGAAGAGAAGAGAGGAGAAGAGAGGGAGAGGGAGAGGGAGAAACGAAAAGAAGACGAAGAAACGGGCTCTGATTCCAGCCCATGATTTTAGTCTAACCAGAGCTTTGGATCGGTATCATGCCTCCCGCTAACCGAACGGAACCAGTCCAGTCTTGCAGGGATCATCAACTACCGATACAAGGGGTTTGACCACCACTGTCAAAGTGGCAGGGGTCGTTCCTCGTATGTCAACCCTGAACTTTTGCACTTCCTCGTGATCTAGTCCCACGTATGTTATGTGTATGTATGTATGTATGTATGTATGTATGTATGTATGAGACGACGACCAAGGCGAGAAAGGTCAAAGTACCTACCTACCACTGCATCTGTAATTTGTAATTCCACAACCCGCGAGGTGGTGCTGTTTTCTCAACTGATCCTAATATGCCAAGGTTATGTGCCGTAGTGGACCGTAATTACCGCCCACCTCCTCTGACTTTTAGTCTAGTCTCACCCTTTTGCGATTCTGTCAGATATCACTAACACATGTTAATATTCTCCGGTCAGAGATAACATACTGTAGGGGACTGTACTGTACTGTACTGTCTATACATACATACATCCGTACCTGAAAACTCTGGAAACGGCATCCGGAAGGCGAGCCGAGACGGGGAGACGGGGAGAGCAAGGCAGGAGAGAAATGCTTGCTTGTATCATGCATGTGTTATTGAAAACTTTAAACCCTCTTAATGCTAATAATAATGCTCATCGATAAATCTCTTTGCTTCAGTTCTTGGCACCGTTTTGAATATCCATGCGTTTGGGAATGCTGATTGTGAATGACCATGATACCAACGACATAACATGACTAGGAAAGCAATAAATAAAGCGCGAAATGGACATAGGAGAAACCTCACACTCAAACTTGAGTGTCACAACAGACACTGGAAAAAGAAACCCGAAAGGAAATGAAAAAGAAATGCAAAATATGATATGTTATGATCCCTCTCTTGTCAGTTCCAATATGAAGTGATGTAATATTAAGCAAGGAGAAAAGATCAGAAAAAGGAAAAGAAACACACAAGAACCACATACTCCATCTCGCCTCAGAGATTTTCGTCCTTCATGCTCATGCTCATGCTCATGCTGATGCTGTAGCCGAAAAAAGCAACGCCAAAATACCTAGTGAGAACCAGCAAGCCCACATAACAGCCCCGGGGGGTCCATGCCCATGCCCATCGCTGAGAGGAGGGAACAAGGTCTCCAACTTTTAGTGCCCATCATCATTAACCGTCATTTCCAGGTTGGTGGTTCAGCTTGGACCATCCATTCATCGTGCGTCGTAGCGGAGCAGAGTGATAGCGATAGTGATATCGTTGCGTTGCCCGCCGTGTCGTTGGTAGGATGAACAATGAAGCCTGGCCTGGGG